CGCGCTCGGGACGCCGAGGCGGATGAGGACGCGGCCGTCGGAGGTTTGTCCGGCGGGACGGCGGTATCCGAGCCGCTTCCCGTCTCCCAGGGGCCGGGCGGGGGGAGGGAAGGAACCGCGGGAAGCGGGAGGCCCGCGCGGCGGCCTGGCTCTCCCCGAGCCTGGGCGCGGCTCCCCGCCGACCCTCGGCCGCTCCCGGCCGGCGCTGCGGCCGTGGAGCCCGGGCGGGGAGGCGAGGTGGGGCCGGGCGGGGAGGCGGCCGGCGGCTGCCCGTAGGGCCGCTCGCGGTGCGGCGGCACGGAGCGCCCCGCTGGCGGGGATGCATCGTTCCTGGGTGCCGCCGAGGGGAGAGCGGCTGTGGGGCTCCTCGGTGGAGGCCGCGTTCGGGGCTTCGCTGCCCGCAGAGCTGCTCGGAAGGGCGGACGGCGCTGGCGTTCCCGAGCCCGGTGCCCATCCGCCTCGGCCCGCGCTCCGCACACGTACGGTGTCAGCACCTGCCGTGACCGCGGCTGCGCTCCGGCTGTCTGTGCGTGGATCTGAAGAGGTGAACGGGTGTCGGTGAAGTTTTACGGGCTAAATAGGGACCGAGTAGAGACTGTAAAAGAGCTGCGGAATCAGCCATCTGCGTGCCTCAGATTTTCCAGCGTTTGTTGTGACGAGCAGGGTAGCTATCTGCTGCTTCTGGAGCGACTTCTAACCGTGATGTAGGAACGGCTTTGCGTTGTGGTTGGCATCTGCGGCCTTAAGAGCTTTCCATGCGAAGCTAAGGCTTGGCTTTGTGGTTGTAGCAGAGCTGTAAGATTGTGCTCTGGTGTGAGCCCAGCGAGGGCTGTGTCCACGTGAGTTCTCTGAAGATGTGCGTTAGGAAACCTTCAGGTATGTCATCAATTCAGAACTCTTATCAAAAGCTGAACTTGGGAGAGCAGGTAGTTCTTAATGTTTGATATTTCAGAGTATTCAGGTGTGTAGAACTTGACTGAGATTACGGATGTTGCACATCTTTCCAAGTTATTTTTGCGCGTGGAGTAAAAGGGGCCAGTTATACACAGTGCTGTGCAACCAGCGCCGTACAGAAACAGAGCAGAGCTGAGAATAGGATGTTGCTGCTTAGTTGTTTTGATTGAACTTTGGATGTGGTTGTAGTTTGGTTCCTTTTATAACACGGATTTTTTATATTGGTCATGTGACTGTGAAACAGGCCATGATCCCAAAATGTCTTGTCCTTAATTCAGTAGCAGTTGCGTGTTGAGAACAAACTTCACATGGCTAAACAAGTATCCGTTTTATGTCTCTAGCCTTTCAGGAAGTAATTCGTGGTTAGTTGAACTGCATTTGTTAGTAGAGTTAATATCTTAATGTACAAATGCTTGAGTTTGCAGTTAAGTAATTGCTGGGATATGGTGACGTTCAGGGAGTGATGTACTTAGCTGTTTGGAGTTTCAGTTCGTCAGAAAAACATACCAGAGTTCAAAGGGGAGAAAAAGAAACGAGATGTCAACACACTTCCATACCCTGGTGGTACATGGCTGGCCTTGCTGGAGGCACCTTGGCCCCCTTATATTCAAAGGTTAATTCTCTGAGACAGGCCAGGTCTTTCCACGAAACAGAAATGCCCTTGGGGGTGGAAACTACCTGTGCTCAACACGGAAGCCCAGTTGCCAAGTGAAGTTGCTGGTTTATCTCATGTTAATTTTATTTCTGAGCAGGTATTTCCTTTAGTGCGCTACTTCCTTTAGGAGCAGAAAAACAGGAAAGAAACTGATGCTGAGGAGTGCATTGTGAGCAAACGTGTTCTTAGCGTGGAGTCTGGCACTTCCAGGCTCTAGCTTCTCTCCAGCTCACCTGCCTTGAACTTGTGAGTTGCTTCCCTGTGGTAATGTATGGAAAATAGTGCAAGCTTCCAAGTGGGCAGCAGTTTTTGGGATTAATAACACTGTAAGAATAAATCAGTCCTTTGTTTTTGTGAGATTTCACGTTCTTGACTTACTAGAATCTTCTTGATGTCCTCAGGTTTCTGGACAACAGTGCTTTCAAAGATAACTTTGATAGCTTTAGAAAAGAGGAAAACATCTTGCCTCATCAATTACCTATTTCATTTTCGCTGCCAAGGATGCAAACTTGATACATTACTCAGGAATCCAGAGCTTCCAACGCCTCTTTTTCTTTCCTTTCTATCTTTGAGATCAGTTGGCTAGATGTATTGATTTAAATAATTGATTTTAATCATTTTTAGTACTTGTATTCCCTTTCGCCATTAGTTGGGATAATCATCTTGAAAACACATTGCTTTGTAACTCAGTGTACTGCTAATCCTAACCCAGTGTAGGTGCTTTGATACATAGTGCTTCCCTTGCTCACTCTGCACAATTGAGTGCTTGTGTAGTTTGGCTTATGGTTGTGCAGTCCTTAATTCTGACATTTCATTAGGTTAAAAATAGTGAATGACTCACTTCATTAGACAGGTTTTTGCTTGTGATTTGTATGAAGCTGCACTTAGATGGGAATTGGAATTTGATGGAAAGTCCACAAATAGAGTGTTTAAATCTTTTTATTACTTAAATCTAAGTCAAGTAAGTTGACTGTCCAGGAAAGTAAGATGAAGTACGTGTAAGGGCAAAGTGGGTATACAGATAATTTGGAGAAAATAGAGCAATTTTTTTTAAGGAAGATTTAGTTAAGTAAATTTAATTGAAAAATATTATATCTAGATATCTTCCTGCTAGTGAAGCTGGAAATTAGTATTTTTTCCTACAATACAAATTGAACCGTAGGACAGCATTTGTACAGTGTGTAGTGCAGGATGTGTCTGTTCATTAATCTTTGTCTGACCTCAGAAGAGAAACAGATTCCAGGAGAGCGATTAATAGCTTGTCCCATAACTCATTAACATCTGATGACTAACTCTTCAAATGGCCCAGCTCAGATTTGAAGTACGTGAGCAAGTGTGAAAGCCACCTCATTACAATTGCTGCAGCAAAAAGAGTAATTACTTTCGCCCTTACCTGTCTGTTGCTCCATGGTTCTGTCCATCCTGACAGGGACTTGCTCTGGCTCTCTGGCTGACAGTGTTGCACTTTGCAGTCCGGTACTGCAGCAGCCTTCCAGAAGCCGCCCGCTGTCCTGCTTTAGCCAGCTCACTTCTGAGGATTTACCCAGCACAAAACGGTCACGTTGCTGAATTGAAGGGACCTTCTATTCTGCCATCTTCGCTTCAGGGCAGTATGCCAACTGTAAATCTTTGCATCTGTAAGTCAGGAGTGCCTATCTGTGTAGCTGCTAGAACCACAGGACGGTAGCTGTGCAGACATCCTGTCACGCTGATAACATCAGTGTCACCATTTTTCAGTTAGCTGTGATTTATGAGCTGTGTGCCAACCAAGCTCAGTGCTGTGGCAGTAGGCTGGGACCTGGGAGGATGGAGCCTCTTACAAGTTTTCCTTTGGATGTGCTGATTGCAGTGTCTCAGTTTCTTAACCTTTGAAGTGAATTCATCTCTCAAAACCATCTTGAACTCTTCAGATCTACGTAGTCTGTGGTGTTTTGAACAAATTCACTTCACTTGAGCAAATGAATACTGAAGTAGTGATCACTTTAGAATAGAGATTCAGAGTAAGGACATGGAGACTTTAAATTGGAAGAGGGTCGATCTAGACTAGATAATAGGAAGAAATTCTTTACTGTGAGGTGGTCAGGTGGAACAGGCTGCTCGGAGAGGCTGTGGATGCCCACTCACTGGAGGTGTTCGAGGCCAGGCTGGATGGAGCTGCGAGCAGTCTGCTGTAGAGCCTATAGCAGAGGGTTGGAACTAAATGATCTTAAAGGTCCCTTCCAACCCAAACTATTCTGTGATTGTTTAGACCCTGGGTGAGTTGCTTTCCTGAGAGTTCGATACGGTTCCACTAGGAGGGAGTGGGATATGACCTTGTGCCACACACAGACATTTGTTCTTTAGCCAATGGTTATCTCTAGCAGCAAGAACTCAGCATGGATGGGGAAAGTGAAGTATGTATTGTTTTATGAACAGAAGCCCCAGTGCACATCATGAGAGAGAGTGCTGGATTAGCTGGAAACTAGAGTCCAGCTTTGTGAATTTACAGTCTAAAGGTGATTCAGGTCACATACGTGTTCTGCAACGAGACTCCTGGCATCTCCTCAATCTTCTCTGCCACTGAGGGTCATGCTCAAATGTTCTAGCTATTTATAGTAATTAATTTCACAGTTTCATCTGGTCTTCTGTTGAACAGGTCTGCTTTTTCAGTCATAACTGTCAGCCACGTTGCCAAAAATGTATTTACACTGGGTGGTGTACATCAATTTGTTCATGGGATCCGGGTTCTGCTATATGATGACTGAAACAGCTCGCATTGAAGTTGTGTTCTTTCCCTTGCTTGTCCTGGAGGTTTGTTATTTAAAATCACATCAGAACAGGAAGCTTTTGGAGATGACTTTCTTTGAGTAAAGCCCAGCAGTACTGATGTTCTGCCTGAGCACAGCTTAATGCCCCAGCCTGTACTGTGAGACTTTACTCCTAAGCCAGGAAAAACAATGCTGCAGAGACCCCGGATCCCAGCAGGGCCCTGAGCTATTTATTTCTGTGGGCCTGACACGCTTAGGAAGTCCGTGTGCCTCTGTAGACACTTAAAGTTCAGTGCAGAATCTGTCAATGGATTAGGTTGCACGTTTAGCTGTTATCAGATAGCCAGGGTAGTGGTCAGCAGCGTACAGATGGAGTGCTTGGGAACTTGGGGAAAAGAAGCCACGACTTGAGGCAAAAAGTCATTGCTTCAGATAAGCAAATTCCGTGATGCGCATCTGCTTCAGTGACCTCAGCGTTTAACTGCACTTGCAAATTTAGGATGTGAAGTAAAGCATTCATGGTGATATCAGTTATTTCATCAGAAAGTAATTGCTCCTTCCTCTTCCTCCAAATATTAACCCCTTTTTCTACTTTTTAACAATTAACTGGTTTCATTGGAACAAACAGTGAACATTGGTTTTAGTTATTTTGACTTTTCTGGTTAAGTAACAGTGATACCTAAAAGTTAGAGATTCCTGTTTGTGTACATTTGCTAAGGGGAGGAGAAAAAAAGATCTACATTAAGTTTGTGGTAATTGAAGTGGCTTTAATTACCTGTCAGACTGCTGTTGTTGAGTGGTGTTACAGGTTGAAACAGCAGATCTCTGGTATGGCTGGCAGGTATTCACCTTACACTAAATCTCAGCATTTTGGATGGAAGTTGAAATGTGCCATTTCAAGTAAATGTATTTCATGTGTTGTTCACGAACTGCCATGGAAGTGATGGCAGTGTTAGATAAGTTGTTCCTCAGTTTGGGAATGTAGAAGAACAGTGCAGTATTAAATGAATGTGGAGGTATACATGTGATAGATAGGTACTCTGGGGTCCTTTATGGTAATATTTCACTGTCACAACTCTCCCATCCTAATTGCATGTCTGTGTTCAGGTGGAAGGTAAAAGGAGGAAAAAGAAAATCAACCTCTTTTTAAGGGAAACAGAAATGTTCAAACAGGAAAGCAGACCTTGGTAGCCTCTGATCGTTACTCTTACAACTACAACTTTTTTTGACCTCTGCTATTCCTTTGCTCCCATTCTCTCCTTGTTTTTCTTTCCTCTTGCTAGCAGTGTCACACGTACCTGCTTGTTTGGAAGTTGTGCAGGAGAAAAAAATAAGTGGAACATAAATGCATGAAGCCCTTCTGCACAGGGGTGATTGATCAAATAAACATTGGGAACATGCTTGTTAGGTTTTTAAATCCTTAGCTTTGTTTCTTCTTGTTCTGTGGTAGAATGTCAGAGGTGGAAAAGGAAACCGGTGGATTTTGGTGCTGAGAGTTCAGTTGGGAAGCGATGGGATGCTGAAGAAATGGTGTTTGTATTCTTAGCAGGCCTGGGGCCAATAAGCTCTGAGTAGACACAAATGAACCAACACACAGAACAGCCGCATCTCTCTCACTGCAGGTAAAGCAGCTGCCTTAGCTGTGCTCCAAGGGAACACGCAGGCAGAGCTGGTGGGAAATCCAGGTGATTCCTGCCAGAGGATTGCTCTTCCTGAGCCTCGTTTTAGTTCTGTAGCCTTAAAAGCTGTGCTGACAAAAGAAAGTATCTTAATTTATGGGTTGAGATCTTGAGAATTCATATACAAGCTCTCCTGCTTTTCTCTGTTGTTTTTGTTGTTTTTCTTTGTTTTCATGCAAGCAATATGCACAAACTAGAAATCAGTCTGTTAGACAGTTAGTTTTAATGGGTAGCTATAAAAAGGAAATGGAAAAGTGCTTGTGTGTAAATCAATTTTATTTTCCTGCTTTCAGTCCCTCAAGTGCAGCCACTGATCACGAGATGTTACCACAGAACCTACCTCAGACTTCGCTTTTGCCGATTCGTTTCCTGCATCGTTATCAATCTCTCCAGGAGCCCTGCAGACACTCTTGAAAGTCTCTGGACGTATTGTGCCATCGTCAAAGCATGATGACCTAACGTAGGTCAAAGTCTGGAGCATTGATCCAGCTGGCAAAGATAACGCTGCCTTTTTGTTTGATCGGTATCACTTCTGAACTGACTTCAGAAACGCTCAGCTGGCCTTTATCTGGCAAAAAGATCTTCACTTTTCTCTCTGGTCCTGGAAATATTAATGGAATACAGTCATGTCTACCCAGGACGAGAAGCAGATAAATAGCGAATATGCTGTGTCCTTGCTGGAGCAGTTAAAGTTCTTTTATGAACAGCAGTTGCTAACTGACATAGTATTGATTGTGGAGGGTACAGAATTTCCCTGCCATAAGATGGTTCTTGCAACATGCAGCTCATACTTCAGGTAAGTATTCAAATCAGGGCTCCTTCATTGAAGAGAATCTGAGGTGTCTGCTTCTGTGTGTAGTTGAGGTTAACTGAGTAACAAATAATGTGTTGCAGAATGTTTTGGAGTGAGGTGAGAAAGTTAAATATCTATATATATATATTACATCAGAAGAGTAACATACATTTTCCAGCATCTTGTGACTTATTTTGGAGTTTTCAACAGGAAGTGTGAAAGGAAAATCACATCTGCAATGGTAGTATTCTTCAGGGAGTTGATTTCAATCTTAACGAACTTCTTACTCTTCATACTTAACCATGTTGTTCCCCAAGATGAGGTGCCTACAGGTCGTTGAGACTTGGCTATGGAAGTGTCATTGCCATGTTCATCTCTGTTTTCTCAGCAGAAGCCTGCTGTAAGGAGGGAGTGCTGTGCAAGCTCGTGCCTTCCTTTTCTAAATCATCCGTTTGTTTTTTTTCCCCTCTGCTCAGCGGTGAAGCCTGAGAGTCATGCAGTAGTGTAGCTTTTAATTTGGGAAGCTATTCCAGGATTAATTATTTTCACAAATTTTTGTCCCAGCTATTGTTTGTGTTCATTTTTCTTCATTTCAGATGAATCTGGTACAATTTTTAGCAGCAAGTGTTTTGTAATCACTAGATAATGATTATTGCTGTTGGCCTGCTGCAGATGACACAGTTCCAACTGTCTATAAAATCACAGCCACTGGAAGAGTGGCCAGACTTAGTGTGGGTGGCTCTAATCATAAGGTTGGAAAGCTGTCATGAGTCCATGCAGTGTGAAGCATTAGAATATGCAGTCAGATCTCTTATTCATACGTGTTTTTATTATTTATGGAATGAGGTTTTGGCACTGGTTGAAAGAAGCATCGAGCTCGTGGTTTTGTCATATTCTGTTTTTTTTTTCCCTCTGCTTTGGTTTACAAAAAGATGTTTAGTTCCTAAATTTAGCCTTCTTATGAAAAATTGATAGTCCTGAAAGAGGCTGCAGGGAGAGGGGGAAGACCCGAAAGGCATCTCTTAGTGATCCAGCAAGCTTACCTTCCAGCTTTGTGCTCGAGCACTGCTACGACTGCACAGCTTGGGCACGTGCTGCTTGGCTGTGTGTAGGCGTGCTCTGCAGCCAGGTTCTGTAACAGCTGCCCCCTTCGTTTCTATGATGAGCAGCTTCTTTGGTGCTCTTTAAGCGTCTTGCTTAGCTTTAAAAAGCTGCCTGGCAAGTTGAGATGCTCACGTGGCCAGTGGTTCCACCTAAAACACAAGGTTGCCCAAGTTAAGGAGCTTAGAAGAGGACAGAGAGGCAGGGGCAGGAGGAGGGCAGTGGGTGCTGCCTTTGTGCCAGGTGCTGCTGAAATGGCTTTGCCTGGGGAGCGCATCTCCATGCTGCCTTCACTTCTGCAGCTGCAGGCAGAGTACAGGGTGCACCACTGTTCCTTCAGACTCCTCTCAGATCTGGTTTCCTTACCAGTTCAAAATATAAAGAAACTGAAGCTGAGTTTATCATATAACTATTAATAATTGCCTTTCTGCTTTTTGGGAAGGTGCAATAGAGATACTTTAAGGATCTTTTTTTCCTGCCCTTGGTTCATTTTTTGTCTACAAACTTGAATTTACTCTACAGTGTGAATGGTACATAAAGGCTTCACAGAGTGCTGATGCTTGCTCCTTTCTCTGGCTTTCTCATCCTTTCAGAGGAGCACACTTTTGGTACAGCTTACGTTTATGCAATAGGCTGAGCTGTTTCTTTTCATTTTAGAATCTAAAATCACTGTTATCTTTAAGCAGCACATGCTGGAGTGTGTTTCTTCCTTTTCAGTTAACAGAGAAAGCTTGCAATTCATTAGTTCTCTGCCTATTGACGCAGATTAGTTTGCATATATAGATAGATAGATACGAAATAATTCTACAGAGGGCACTGATGGTATTTTTCAAATGTTCAGTACGAGTGCTTTAATACTGGATGGTAGCCCAAGGAAAAATCTGTAAACAGGCAACCAAAAAAACCTGTTTACCTTTTAGAGTGTAATCACTGAAGACTTAGGAAGTGACTGTTTACTGATGGTTCTTGTCTTAATGTGTGTGTTCTTCTTCAGAGCTATGTTCATGAGCGGGCTAAGTGAAAGCAAACAAACACACGTGCACCTGAGGAATGTGGATGCAGCCACTTTGCAAATTATAATAACGTACGCATACACGGGTAACTTGGCAATAAGTGACAGCACAGTAGAACAGCTTTATGAAACTGCCTGCTTCTTACAGGTAGGAGTGTTTTACTTTGTGTGAAGTAACTGCTTTGATTTCAGAACTGTTTCTTCTTTGACTTGTTAGGTTTAGAAGCTTCAGAATACTCTTGTTCAATTTACTTAGTATAGAGAGACAGCAGTTGCCTGCCAGATACGTTTCATGTACACATCCCTCCTTGCTTTATTGGCCCTCTGGAGGGTGGCAGCAGAACAGCGTGCAACACTTGGGTAATTACTTTCTCAAACAGCCATCGTAATGTAACGTACAAAATCTGCATGAATCCATTGAGTCACTGCTGTGTTTTTGTGTATATTATGTTATTCCAGGCCTAAGCTCTGCTGTTTAGCCCAAAACACAAATACTTTCACCTGCTGATGGAAAGAGAAAGAACAAACTGTCTGTGGCAATACTGAATTCTTTTCTTTTTGCATTACAGGTAGATGATGTGTTACAGCGGTGCAGAGAGTACTTAATCAAAAAGATCAATGCAGAAAATTGTGTGCGCCTGTTAAGTTTTGCTGATCTCTTCAGCTGTGAAGAGTTAAAGCAGAGTGCTAAGAGAATGGTGGAGCACAAGTTCACAGCTGTGTACCACCAGGAGGCTTTCATGCAGCTGTCACACGATCTGCTGATCGATATTTTGAGCAGTGACAACTTGAACGTGGAAAAGGAGGAGACGGTTCGTGAAGCCGCTATGCTGTGGCTGGAGTACAACACGGAATCACGGTCGCAGTATTTGTCCTCTGTTCTTAGCCAAATCCGAATCGATGCACTTTCAGAAGTAACACAGAGAGCCTGGTTTCAAGGCTTACCGCCCAATGATAAGTCTGTGGTGGTACAAGGACTGTACAAATCTATGCCCAAGTTTTTCAAGCCCAGGCTTGGTATGACAAAAGAGGAGATGATGATATTCATTGAAGCTGCTGCTGAAAATCCCGGTAGTCTTTATTCTTCTGTCTGTTACAGCCCACAGGCAGAGAAAGTTTACAAGCTCTGCAGTCCTCCTGCTGACTTGCATAAGGTTGGAACACTTGTAACTCCTGATAATGACATCTATATAGCAGGGGGGCAAGTTCCTCTGAAAAATGCAAAAACCAATCACAGTAAAAGCAGCAAGCTCCAGGCCGCCTTCAGAACTGTGAATTGCTTTTACTGGTTCGATGCACAGCAAAACACTTGGTTTCCAAAGACACCGATGCTCTTTGTTCGTATCAAGCCGTCCCTGGTCTGCTGTGAAGGATACATCTATGCAATCGGAGGCGACAGCGTCGGCGGAGAGCTCAACAGGAGAACGGTCGAAAGATACGACACAGAAAAGGACGAGTGGACCATGGTGAGCCCGCTGCCCTGTGCGTGGCAGTGGAGCACGGCGGTAGCAGTTCACAACTGCATTTACGTCATGGCACACAACTTGATGTACTGTTACTTTCCCAGGTCAGATGCCTGGGTAGAAATGGCTATGCGACAAACAAGCAGATGTTTTGCTTCAGCTGCCGCTTTTGGCGATAAAATATTCTACATCGGAGGACTCCACATCGCCAGCAACTCTGGCATAAGGCTCCCAAGCAGTACTGTGGACGGGTCTTCCGTAACTGTGGAGATCTACGACGTGAATAAAAACGAATGGAGAATGGCGGCTAACATCCCTGCCAAGCGCTATTCTGACCCGTGCGTGAGAGCCGTTGTCATCTCCAACTCCTTGTGTGTCTTCATACGAGAAACCCACATGAACGAGAGAGCGAGGTATGCCACCTATCAGTACGACCTGGAACTCGATCGCTGGTTTCTAAGGCAGCACATATCGGAACGCGTGCTGTGGGACTTGGGCAAGGACTTTCGGTGCACTGTAGGAAAGCTGTATCCATCTTGCCTCGAAGAGTCCCCGTGGAAACCTCCAACGTATCTCTTCTCACCAGATGGAGCGGATGAATTTGATCTGGATGGGGAGATGGTTACTTTACCACCTGTACAGCTCCAGAATTAGACTGCGCGACCCATTCAGTGTATGGTTACCTTGAAATAAATGATTGTGAGAAGTCTGGGAAGAAGAATGTCCAATCAGTCCTTCATGAGTTGTATTTTTATGCCCTACCAAATACTTGCAGCAGTTCAGTATGAATTGATGAAATAAGCTGGTATGCTTCCATAATCTGAAATAATAATATCTGATAATTGAGAAACATGTATGTATATCATGATCTTAGTCATCTGACTTGTCTAAAGAATTAATTTCTAGTTCTGTAAAGCCTGTTTCAGGAAAACTAGCTTCAGAAAAAAAAAATATTTACTGTTTCTAGGATGATATCATAACTCTTCTGAAAGTACCTTGCAGTTATATTTGAACTACTTCTGGGTGTTCTAATCAAGTGCTAGTTATATAATTGTTGGTGTGGCCTAATTAAGGGACTGTGCTGCACTTAATACTAGTATCCATGTTGGTATAGTAATGCCATTTAAAAACAAACAAAAACAAATCCCATGGATCTACCTGCAGTAGGAAGGGTAGATCTTCCATTGTATTGTAATGTGCAGGGCAAGATGACTGCAGGTTCAGTCAAGCTGTACTATTAGGTGCATGTACTCTATTTTCACAAACTTATACCTGTCTGTTTAGAATACAGGTCTTCCAAGCAGCTGGTAGTTTACCAGGTGTGGACTTAAGTTGCTGGGCTTGCAATAGGAATTGTCAGCCCTCATAGTGCGGGTCTCTGTGGAGCTTTAATCAGTGAATGCCTCCACATTCTGTATTACAGTAACATTGGCTCATGTATATTACTTCCTGCTGCTGATGTATTTTTCCATTGTAAAACAAAGTTTTAGTGTGGATTAACCAGGTCTTTATTTTCTGTTAATTTAATAACAAGCATTACTGTAGTGTGATTGTGTATAGATATCCCTTAGCTATCAGGTTTTTTACTTCGGGGGGACGGGGGGAAGCAACCAGTTCAGGAATATCCTGTACTCTTTGTGCAGGAGAGCAGATGACTCGTGCTGCTCCGGCATTAATCCCAGGAACCACTAGCAGTAGCGGGGCACCGCCAGCCTAACATGAACACAGGTGCTTCATGACAAACCTTACTAGCATGTTCAGTTGCATCATGTTCTGGCACTGTATTTTGAATGACATTAATTTATTAAAAAAGACTGAATCCAACCGAGTTTGGGTGTGCTTTCTGCTTGAAGTTGACACGGTTACGCCCTCTCCCTCAAACAGTATCTCTTAATTTATTGAAAGCTGTTTCAAATAGTTAAGCTATGGAAAACTTGGACCTATGTAGCTAATTTCCAGCATTACACAGAACTTGAAACTTCCACTAAGACTTTTGCAAAGTGACACATCTCCAGTCATGGTGTTTTGTGGAATGTAAGGATTTACAGGACAAGTAATGCTGGCTAGTGAAGAGAAAGAGGCAAACTACTAACTTTAAGGAAGGTGACAAATTACATGTTGGCATTTACTGCTTCATCAGCTCTTCTGCTGCCTGAATTGCTTAGGCAAGAAGGGAGGAGCAAGTTGTGCTCCTGGTGGTAGCGTGTTACTGTAACCTGGAGCACCAGATACAAGTTGGTCCAATGGTGCACAAATTAGAAGAACAGTGTTGCTGATTTGTAATGTTTGGAGAACCACAGACCTCTGGCAAAAATGGTGGTGGTATCTTCTTCACTGCAGCCTGACCGGACTGCTTAGTTCTGTGGATTGTCCTCGCAGTAGCCTGCTTCATTGAGGGCTACTACAGCAGCCTTAGGCTCAAGACATGCTTTAATTTCAAGTGCAGATGATCTGCAGCTAGGGAAGGAGCACAGCAAGTGTGTTCTGTTAAGTAGGAACTTTCAATTCAAGTTTAAGATCTCATGCATGATTTCTTGCCCTAAAAAAGTGTGATAGATTCAAACAGTGCACTCAATTGCACTCAGTGCTTCACGGGACCAGCTAAAGACATCTTCTGAAATGCAGAGGGACTTCCTGCTAGTCTGCATTTTGTACTCCTTAGAACAGGTTGGTGTAAGCCTGCGTGGTACCTTATTTAAAATTAATTTTAATAATGCAGTACTTAAGGACAAGACTAGTCAGGTGTCAAACAGTGCTGTGACTTGGTCAGACGTGCTTACTATCAGCTCACTTATACCACTAGATGCTGCAGTCAGTATTTGACCCCAGACAAAAGCAGCTGGCAAATGCGAATCTCTAGTCTGAATTGTTCCTTTTCATTATTAGAGGAGGAAACTGCAGGCAAAGCCTTGTCACACGTCTGGAAATGGTCGCCAGTGGTCGAATTCGACTGCAGTGGGAACAAAGACAGTGGCTGAAAAATGCAGCTCTCATTTTATAAATAGAGCAGTGATGATTAAAGCCTCCAAAGAGTTCTAAAACAGTATCTCACTACAAAGCTTCAACCTAATGCTAGCCTACTCAACCTCTACTTGACTACAAGGTACATTTACATACAAGCTCTAATGACTCCTTATGTCCTCAAGCTTTCCTATATTTGCAAAAAGTTTGCTTTTTTTTTCTGATAGAAATACCTTTAAGTCCTATGTAATTTCAATTCCCTGTACCTGAAATAATAAAAGAACACTCTACCAACACTTTTAGCGCATCCACTTATTTTTACAGTTGTTTAACTGCATGCCTAATTGAAAGCTTAATTTTTGTTCTAAGGGGAATAGTCAAAATTAGGGCAGCCAATTGTGTCAAACTGTACAGAGAACATTAGAGGGGTAAGTTAGCTTTCATGAGCAATTACTGGTAATTTTTTTAAAGAAGCTCTACAGCTCTGCCTGGTACTTTACATCATTTCCCCTTTCATATGTTCCATATTTGTTACCACATCACTTCTGCAGCATTGATCAAGAACTTGTAAAGCAAGGCAGAGCTTACAGCCTGGAGGAAAACAGCAGCAGCCTGAGTAAAATCCAGGGAGGCAGTTCACAGAAAATCTGTGCATCTTCACACCTCCAAGTTCAGGTATGGAAGAGGCTGATAAAGGCAGGAACTTGGATGTGGAAGGAAAGAGGGAATTTTTCACACAGCCTGGTCTGGTGGTTGGTGACAGGGGGCTGAAACCAGATGATCGTTGTGCTGCTTTGCAACCCAGGCCACTCTATGATCCTATGATAAAGATGGGGTGGGCACAAGGGTAACGAATCTGTAATGAATTACTGTCAGTAATGAAGGTATCTGCGTGAAGTAACGCAGTAACAATTGTACTTTCTATCAAACGCCCACAGTCAGACCACTTGGAATCCCAGCAGCAATAAAGAGCTCAACAAAACAGCTAAACTTAACACTGCTGCAGCCAAGATGAAGCCATCTCTGTGCCATGTCATACACATGAATCACGTCACTTTGGGAATAACAATCATACTAAATCCACCACCACACTGGCACTGACAGAAGTGACCCATCTCCCAGTTTGAGAGTCCTACTGGTACTTGCAGTGTTTGATAAGGAACAGGACAAGAACAGAAACATCACGGAGCTAAAGCTCTATGCCTACTTTTTTTTTTAAGCTCTCTCTCTCTTCTACTGCCATACTAAGGACAAAAAACAGCGTGAAGGAATTCCTTCTGTCTTTCATCCTATCACATAACAATTACATATTTCTGCTTTTTATGAATTCTCTACTTCTATGTTACTCTTCTCGTTATAAAGCTAAACAAAGTACAACTGTGCTGCAGAAAGATGATGTGAATTTAATATGTTTGAACAACTTCTTGCATATGGGTATTTAAAAAAAAAATAAAATAAAATTCAACAGTTTTTCCAACAGAAACTTTATCTAATCCACATCTGAATGTTACTCAGACTCAATTAGTTTCTTCCAACTGGAAGCAGTAACTTGCCAAATCATGCTTACCTTGGTGCAGCTGCAGTGACTGCAGCAGTTTTAATATCAATCTTTAATGAATAGGCTGCTATTGTAGAGAGAGAAACGTGCAGCAATTATTGGCTCTGCATCACAACTAGATCTCAGCACCCCAATGAACCACGCACCATCTTGAAGCTAAATCTTTGAGGCTAAATAGTTGAGAACATCACAGCCCTACCTGAAGTTCTGACTGATGCACAAGATGCCTGTGACCTACTGAAGACTTTAAGCCACCATCAGTTTAAACAGAAGACAAGTCTCAAATGGATCAACAGTGCATCACAAGCAGCTATCAACATCAAAATTGGTGTGTTCTGCTGGGACTACCTCCTCAAAGCACAGCTTTTTGAGCAGACACAGCTTTAAATAGGCTGGATGTATTTATTTTCAAGCAGCACGAGAGAATTCAAATCCATTGCTTCTGTTTTTCAATGATCAAGTAACAGTTTCTATGTTTAAAAACTGCATTCACACCTTCACTTTTACAATGAAATACTGCCACTTTAGTTTTGCTGCTTAGCAATAATTTATATGGACATAAGAAGCTTGTTTAGACAAAATACTAAATTTCATTACAAAGGTGCTTAAAACAGACGTACAAACAAATCAATGGACTAGAAGAGTGATCTGAAAATGATAACTGATTGTTACATTTGAAGGAAGTGCTGCCAGATGTGCTCAAGAATTAAGGTTACAACATGGAAATGATGAAAAACAGTGAACACTTCGGCCAAATGAAATATTAGGTCAACAATACTTAGTCTAGTGGACCTGGGGGGATTTGTGTCTATGTACACTCAGTAGGCAGTTCCCCAGATACTGCTAAGCTACAGGTTGATGCCTTTGTCAGAAAGTTGAGGGAAGTGTGACACTTTCTTATCTGGAGGTGAGTTCATGCTGTACATTAACAATCAGAAATACCTCTGCAATTACGTTGTGACTGAGCTGTAACAATACCTTCACAGTCGACTCTCATTAGAGGTGCTATCACCAATTCATTTAGAGCTCTCCATTGCTTGCTATGCAGAAACAGATGTCAAGAGCCTTTGAAATAGAAATTGACTGCAGAAATCCTTTTGAACAAGTAATAATGCTTTAAAACAGGGGAAGAAAAGAGCTTGCATTCACTCTGGATTAATGTAAAGAGATCACAAATATGAAATTAAGAAGAAGACTGCATCAACTGAGATGAAAGTCAGTGGCTGCTATCCCTCCTCCCAGACCAAAAGTACATTTAAACAAGTGTCAAAGAGCAAACATACCTATTAATGAAGATAACTTATTACAAAGATCACTTCATCTCCACCCACTGCTGAGTTTAAATCGTCATTCAACTTGCTAGCAGGAAGTTTATTCTTAAGAACATTGAAGATAAATACAAGTTTCTTAATCCAACCTTGTGTTGAGAAACAAGAAAGGAAAATGCTCTTAACCTGGTGGTATTTTTGGCTCCACAACAGAGACAGCCAGAATGGGGGGGAAAAAGATCACAAAAGCAAGCCATTATTTTCTTACCTGTGTGCTGAATCAGAAAGCTCTACAATCATCACCAATAACTGCACCTTTACTCTTATGTCAGCACAGGTCTTCCTACAGGTATTTCATAATCTTTAAAAAGATATGAATGTCTATTACAGAGTCGTGGAGTAGGACATTAAAGGGCATCAGAAGTTTTACAAGACAGGCACATACATATTGAGTTCAGGAGCAATAGATAAAGTTCTGTAGGTGTATTTCACTTGTATTTCAGAAGCAGTAGATTCAGAAGAGCTTTAGGGCCATTTTTTGCCCATCTCCAATGAAGCTCCTCAAGCCAGCCGTACACTTTCAGGTTTTCTGTGGTTGTCTCACATATTTAGCTTAATAAACCCTTTAAAACAGATCTTCTGTTTTCAAATTGCTAACTGAACCAATAACACTGAAAATTACACTGTTGGACAGTAACTATGAGATCCAGCTGTGCTTTTCCACTAGCTTTTGAAGTGCACCTGAAGAAAATAGAACCTGTTAAATTACATTAGAACCGTCTTATTTATCTCATGTACAGCTATTTTATTTGAGGAATGTATGAAATAACCACGACTCGAAACCTTGGCCCCAGAAAAAAGCATGGCAGAACACAAAGACACTGATAAGGGAATAAACTAAGAGCGTTCCAATACAGAGAAGTTGGAATACCTGATAATGCAACACAGAAAACGGTACCCTGTGGGGATGCTAGAAGGAACAGCACATGCATTGCAACTGACAGCAAATAATCTGTTTCAGGAGCATGAAACGTACA